GTTGCTGAGGTGGTCTGTCCTGAGCATCCTCACGGATACCACTTTCTTACTCTCTTGCCTACTACAATGGTTGCAATCTTCAGGACAAGGTCTTCTTGTCAATGCATCTGCGTTGCCGTGAGATTTCCCGCTGCGGTGTCTGATAGTAAAATCGTATTCCTGCTGCTGCTGGGCGGTGCTGTTAGCCGCACTTCCTTTCTGAGACCGTTCACCTTCCCTTCCTAGGGTGTGCTTAGGGCAGCTGGACCGAAGATGGCCCCTTTCCCCACAGCCATAGCACCTAGGGCTGTATCTTTTATTGTGGTCGCGAACCGTAACTGCTGTAACCTCCCTAGCGTGAGGTGAACGATGATCCTGTCGCCGCCAGGCAGTGTCGTTAGCTGTACTACCCTCTCGAGATCGATCAACTCTCCTTTCCACGGTTAGTTTAGGGCAGCTGGATCGAAGATGGCCCTTTTCCCCACAGCCATAGCACCTTGGGCTGTATCCTTTGTTGCGGTCGCGAACTGTAGCTGCTGCAACCTCCCTGACGCGATGGGAACGATGATCCTGCCGCACGGCTTCCACTTCCAGTGCATGGGCCAAGGCGTCCTTAAGCGTCTCGTGGTGACCGAGCCTCACAGCGGCTCTGACTTCCAGGTCGCGGATGCCGTCGATGAATGTCTGCACCAGGTTCCCTTCAATGAGCGCAGGTACAGACCGGTATGCTTTTCGCACCAGCTTCTCCACTTCTAGAGCCCACTGCTGCAGGTTTTCGTTGATGCGCTGCACACGATCTTTAAACTGCGTACGAAAGACCTGTTCCAGGTGAGCGTCGCCATATCTCGCCTCCAATGCCTCAAGGAGTTGCTCATAAGTCACTTCCTCACCGAGAGCTTCCAGAACTGTTAAGGCCTGGTCGCGCAGGCCTAGTGTGAGAGCAGTCATGGCCTGACTTTTATTCCAGCCGTTCGCCTTCATAACAGCCTCGAACTGGATTTTGTAGGCTGACCAGGAAGAGGTCCCGTCGAACGGCGGCACTTTGAATCCACGTAGCGAAGGTGTTGTAGCTACTACGGGAGCTGTTGTTCCATCTCCAAGTTTGAGTTCGTCCAGTGATTTCTTCATGTCGGCCATTACGTTGTCAACCCGATTGTTTACTTGGTCGATTCGGGTTTCAGCTTTCTCGATTCGGTTTTCAGCTTTCGCGATTTGGGTTTCAGCTTCCGACAGGCGGTTGTCATGCTGAGCAACCCTATCCTTCACCTCCTTTATCTCCTTCCCGAAGGTAGCGTGAAGGTCCTTCATGAGGAGCATCTGTTTCTCCTGTCGGCGTGCCAGTTCCTCTTGTCCGCTCTGCAGCTGCTCTTTCAACTGACGGACCTGTTCCTCCTGTCCGCGAGCCTGCTCCTCCTGTCGGCGAGCCTGCTCCTCCTGTCGGCGAGCCTGCTCCTCCTGTCGGCGAGCCTGCTCCTGCAGCATCACCATCAGAGCACCTAAGTCAGGTGCTGCAGATGTAGGAGCTACCGACGGGCCTGCAGCCGGTGGCTGGCCCTCCGACGTCTGCGGCGTTGCACCAGCAAATCTTCGTTGTTCCGTCTCCTGCTGGCGTTGACTTCGGGTACGGACACCTTCCGTTTCCTCCTTAGGTAAAATCGGCATTATTTTATCCCACTTCTGACACCAATTGTTACGAGCTTAGGGTTCGTGACAATAAAAATTGCCGATAAAATTACCTAAATTAACACTTTAATTTACTTTACACAAATTAAAACTAAAAACACTAATAATTAAACACACTAATTCACTTAATTCCGCTCCGAAGCTTCGCCTGTGTCGCCGAGTTCAACTCTACCCGATCGCATCTTGCAGCGCCTACTTATATAAATTAGCAAAATATCCAGAATGTTCAAGTAGACACGCGCAAGGTACCGGGAGTTCGAGTTCTAAACTTCAAGAAGTTTAGTTCTTCGGTTCGAGACTAGATGGCGCTAGTGTATCGTCGACTTGAGCGCGTAACACTATTTTACAGTAAAACACTAATAAAACACTAGAAACATCCAAAAATCAACACAATAACATTTACACGAAAATGGCTTACGAAATGAACATAGATTATAAATAAATATCCATAGACTAACTGACTTTTTATTCCACTAAAGGATAGAAAATTTCATACCTATCGATTCTATTATGCCAAACTTCTTCACAGAAAATTAGTCTCTATACATAAGTATTTAGGGGTTATAGTGCTGTGGGTGGGTGCGGTCACATTTGACCTCTTGAATTATGACAGAATATCGCCACGGTCAAATTTGGACGCTTGGTAGTTAAAAGGTTAAGAATGTGAATCCAGATTCGTTGTCTGACTGAGGACTGACTAAGATAGAATGCTTCGTTTTCAGTAAAAAGGTCTCTGGTTCTTTACACTCACCATACCAAACACAGAAACATTAAGCTGCTATTTTACGCTGGTATTCTGTAAGACCGTGGTCCTACCCCGTTCGAGCTGACCCATTCGTGTAGCAACCATAGTATAGCTGCAGCGGTGTTCTACCACTTACACATACTACAAATTTCAAAACATGTTTAGCAGTTATGCAGTTATGTTGATGTTCTTTTTTTGAACTAACTGCTAATACTAACAGTATTTGACTAATATTTCACTTGTAATTAAAAATCATACGTCTTCCTCTATACACGACAGACCTAATCTCAATCGATTATAATTATTTAGTGATCCGATACCCATATAAAGAGATAGCAGAAATATAAACGAAGTGAGGGTAAATATTTCGATGACGAAGAATTTTTTCAAAATTACCCGGCAATTTTATATAAAACATGTATATTGCTGCAAAAACTCCACTTTTATGTTGAGATTATGATTATATATATTTATCTTATATATAGATACGATTTTTCTTTCAAAAACATCGTCACAGTTGGGACGTTACCTTAATATAAGCTCTTGTAAACTAGCTATCCAATAATACAATTGTTCTCTACTAAAATAACAACTTGCGCAACTTCACAACAAAAAAAGTGAAAGATTTATGAAATAAAATTTGCAATACTGTTGTTATAAATTCTTTGTGCGACTACTGCGTGATCAAAGAGTACTAGACTGTATATCAAGATCCTATTTTCGACTTCCAGGTGGTACGAAACGCAGCATTGTTTTGTTGCTTCGTGCTGGCGTTCTGTGGAAGCGTTGTCCTACAAGGTTTAACTGACTCAGTCGTATTGCAGCCATAATATAGCTGCAGCCTGGCTCTACCATGTAAACGTACGTGCCACATATTATGCAATACTGACAGTGGAAGGAGTTTGGAATTTTTTGTCATAATTTAAACAAATTAAAAAGCCATGGCATTTACGGATTGGTAATGTTTTAAGATAACATTCGTTGCAAATCATTTTAATTGCAGCTTGCAAACTGTTAGGCGTTAATACTTCCAAAACTGCAAAAAAATCTACTTGATAAAGGCCATTTTACATTTATTTTACTTTAACTAGGAATGGGCTATTTTAATTGAATTAAGAAACCTGTTCCAAATATTTCTGTTTGTGAAATAAAATATGAAATGTCAGTTGCAGTAGTCGGTTCTAAAATAACAGTACCCGTTATCACGCGACGAGTTTTGATAGGAACTTTATTAAAAATATGTAATGTTGTGTCTTGTTACGTCTATTCTGTACAATTGACCGAAGGATATATATGTGGTCTCTGGTACTAAAGCCTTGAAAACCGGTTTTTTTTGGGAGTCTAGTTGTCATCAAGTCTACATACGAGACAATTTATAATGACTTACAAAACACGTAACGTGAAGTGTATATTGTTCTTCCCGTAGATACAGTGAAGACGTGGTACTCGTAAGAGACGCAGAAAGTTGATGGATGCAGGTGGCATCTTTAGGAAAGCTTATGCTCAGTAGTGAATTTGTGAAGGAATATTATGATGAATGAAGATTTTTAGTGCATTAGATTTGTTTCTTTATATCTCACTCTGACTTAACATTGGACGCACGTATTAATAAAATAAGGCTACTGAAGTTTTGGGTTTTATCATCCTAAAAACGGCATTGCTTTGGCTTTGAATCGTTCGACCTATTATTTGCTTGTGTAATAAGTTTTGCAGATCAAGGGTAAAGTTCTAAAACTAAAATATTTGTATATAGCTGAATGCGAATACAAACATATAACAAGAACAGAATGCGAATAAAGGCATATAACAAGAACGTGTTTAACTTATTTTATCACTTTTCACTATTACCGTGTAGTGGCGGTTGAGAATATATACTACCCGTGGGTGTCGTAAGAGGTGACAGAGGGAAACAGGCAGGATATGGGCGGCAGAATCTTCTTGATAACAGCAATTATACAATAAAAACTGCGGTTGCTAACCCGCTCGCCAAGCGTGGCATCATCATTCTCTAAACCATTTCCCATTATCTGGGGTCGGCGCAGTAAGTCTTCTTGTTCCATTCCTCTCTATCAGCCGTCATTTCCATACTTACTCCTTTCATTCTCATATCACTCTTCACACAGTCGATCCATCCTTTATTCGGCCTTCCTCTGCCCGTGTGTCCCCCCCACATTCATATTCAACACTCGTTTTGTGACATGACTTTCATCCCTCCGCATCACATGCCCAAACCATGCCAATCTGCTTCCTCTCACCTTTTCTACCACTGGCGCTACTTTCAGGCTTCCTCTTATATACTCATTCCTTATCTTATCCATCCTTGTCACACCACACATCCATCGTAACATTCTCATTTCATTCGCATGCAATCAATTTTCATCCTTCTTCTTGACGGCAAATATGGCAAAAATCCCCATGAGCAACAACATAAACAAACGGCCTCTAGTCCGCGGCGTCCCCGCTATTCCTCGCTACGGTGGCGACCATGGTAACGGCGGGGCAGGGGTGCTAAGAATCTCCGGGGGAGGTCTGATCTGGTCTGATCCCGACATTTCACCTGTCCCGTCCTTCAGATAAGGACGCGACAGGTGAAATGTCGGGTTCAGAAGGGGTCACGTCTGCGTCAGCGTCAGCATCATCAGGAACATCCAATACGTCAGATTCTTCAGGCACTACGACCACAGAGGGTACCACCACGACAGAAACCACGGTTGCAACTGCCACCACGGCGGGGTCCGAGGAGAACGGACAGAAGGATGAAGCCGCACAGAAGGAGACGACCAAGAGGACTCCAGAGGATATTCCGGACAAGGGCGTTCATGGCTACGCCACAACTCTTAAGCCAAAGGGAGTCATTCGTCGCGCCAGGTCCATAAAGACCACGAGATCCTCAGTCAGGAGACGCGAGCTGGAAGCCAGAGAAGAATTAGTACGCATGGAGCTGAAGCAAGCCAAAGCTGCGGCGAATCAAGCCCGTGTCAGATTAGAGCTGGCACAGTGTAAAGAGGAGGACTCCGTGGACGAAGACCAGGAAGACAGAACAGCACAGTTGCAGAACTGGATCGAGACATCAGTAATGGAAAAAAAACAACATGGGAAAACACGAGCAACGAGGTCAGCACCCTCCGCAGGAGCCAAATGTGAAGCCTGAAGAGAACTCCTCAGCGACAAAAGGTACGAGCGAGATTCAATGGCGCTGACGATAGCATTGAAGGAAGCCCTTACCAGAAGAGGAGGACCAGTAGCTCAGCCAAAGTATATCCACGAGTTACCCTACTTCGATGACAACAGCAGCGAGTGGTTGGCCTTCAAGGTGGTCTACAAAGATACCGCCCCGATGTTCAACGCAGTCCAAAACATGTCTCGACTAAGAAGAGCACTAAAAAAATGCCTACAATTCTCAGGTTCCGATGGTATGACTTTACTGCAGCAACGAGAGAGAAAAGAGGGCGAGTTCTCCGACCTGACGATGGTCTCCAAGTTCCTGAACAGTGAAGCAGACAAATGTGGAGCCTTTGCGACCTCAGAAGAGAAGAGCGGGTTCAGAAGAACTCATCGACAAGCGACGCATTCTACAAGGGAAAAGGACTTCAAAGAAAGAGATTCAAGACAGTCAACAGAGAAGAATTGTCCTATGTGTCAAGGTGGACACTTCCTCGTCGACTGCCAGAAGTTCCAGAAGACGTCAGTGCAAGATCGATGGGCAACAGTAAAGAAAAGTTACGTTTGCTTCAAATGTCTTCAAGAGAAACATCGAAAGGAGAGCTGCAAGAAACCACCATGTAAGGAATGCAAGATCATCATTTGCTGCACGTCGAATCAGAAGACAGGACCTCAGGAGAGAAGAAGGCGGAAACACAAGAAGAAGTAGCAAGCGTCATGACATCAGTAAATGCAGTCAACAACGCAGGGGCATACCTGAAGATAGGTTCAGTAGAAATCTTCGGGCCAAAAGGATCCAAAAGAATATTGGCCCTCATGGATGAAGGGTCGACAGTGTCGCTTATTGATGAAAATGTAGCAAAAGAAGTCGGCGCTCAAGGCAACAGAGAGGAACTGGTCATCGAGACAGTAGGAGCCAGGCAAATCAAGAAGAAGGATTTTCAGACGCTGGACCTTGTAGTTGTAGTGAAGGGGGTTCATCAAGGAAGCAAGAAGAACTTGAAGAGAGTCCGAGATATCAACGAGCTGAAGCTTTCACCACAGTTCCTAGAGAAGAAAAGGATAGAATAATGCAAACATTTGAGGAAGATCGCCGACTCTCTTTATTATAAAGGGAGACCACAGCTGCTCATCGGTCAAGACAACTGGGAGCTAATAGTGACTCAAGAAGTAAGGAAAGGGAAACCAGGAGAATCAGTTGCTTCAAGGACAGGGCTTGGATGGGTGCTCCACGGATCAGATACCGGGGCTGTAAGAGTAGTACTTTCTTATTTATTCATGAACACGTGTCTACATGTCAGCACACCAGATGAAGAGATACATCAAGCCATCAAGGACCACTTTGCAATCGAGGCGCTTGGCATACAACCACGAAAACCCACCACAGATTCAGAAGGAAGAGCACTCGCCTTCCTAGAGAAGACCTGCAGAAGACTTGAAGATGGACGATTCGAAGCTGGACTCTTATGGAAAATGAAGATGAACAGATGCCTGAGAGCCACACGTCTGCCAAGAACCGGTTGTTCAATATCGAAAAGAAGATAGATGAGGACCCTCAGCTGAAGGCAGAATATATCAAGCAGATCAAGCATCTTATCGACAGCAAGTATGTAGAAGAAGCACCTGTGACACAAAAAGACTTCAAGAAGAAATGGTACCTCCCTCACTTCTTCGGGGTACATCCACTGAAGAAGAAGATAAGGATCGTCTTCGAAGCTGCAGCCAAGTTAAAGGGAAGAAGCCTCAGGACCAGATCTACTACAGTCACTCTTCGAGATACTACTAAGGTTTCGACAGGGCCCGCTAGCTGTGGCTGCCGACATCAAGGAAATATTTCTTCAAGTTCGCATTCGACCACAAGATAGAAATAGCCTGAGGTTTTTGTGGCGCTGGGCTCGCCGCGATGTGCCTCCGAAGGAGTACAGGATGACATCAGTTATCTTCGGCGCAACATCATCTCCGAGCACCGCAATCTATGTGAAGAACCGAAACGCAGCGGACTTCAAAGAGCAGTATGTATCCAGAGGCAGTAAGGGCGGTCGAGTTAAACCATTATATAGACGTACCTGCACAGCTTCCACTCAGAAGAGGACTTTAGAAAAGTGACGATGCAGGTGGACTGGTGGATATACAAGAAGGTAGGCTTCGAACTCAGGGGATGGGCGTCAAATCAACCCGAGCTGCTGCAAAACGTGAAGATCGACACTATTGAGAAGACAGAAGTGGACCTAGGCGAGAAGGAAGAGAAGACACTAGGACTGCGCTGGTTCACCAAAAGGGACTCCATCGGCTTCAGAGCAAACCTCCGAAACACGCCAGAGGAAATAACAAGGGGACTCAAGGTGCCTTCGAAGAGATCCACTGGATTTAGCATCACCAGTTCTCATCCAAGGCAAGAAGCTGCTTCAGAACATATGGCGAAGTGGCGTCGGTTGGGATGACGAAATAAAAGAAAGGGAGTACGAAGCATGAGCACCTACCTGGAGAAGAAGAAGCCTTCAAATTCCGCGATGCCTGGCGACACATTGCACCGAGGGGGAGCAACACACTTTCGTTGATGCGAGCGAGCTGGCGTATGCAGCGGCAGTTTATTGGAGGACAGAAGATCAAGATGGGACTTACCACGTCAGGTTAGTGGCAGCAAAGGCGAGAGTCACTCCATTGAAGCCAGTGTCCATACCGAGACTCGAACTACAGGCAGCCCTCCTAGGAAGCAGACTGGCTCATTCAGCAGAAGAGGAATTGGACCTGAAAGTAACAAAGAAAACATTTTGGACAGACTCCAGCATCGTACTTTCCTGGATAAAAACAGACCCGACAATACCTTCAAGACGTTTGTGGCTCATCGCTTGGTGGAGATAGAGGACCTCACCAAACCGCAAGACTGGAGATGGGTACCTACAGCACAGAATCCTGCAGATGACGCAACGCGCGACGTACCAGAAGACTTCAACTGCAACCACCGATGGTACACCGGACCAAGCGTCCTAAAAAAGGAAGAGGCACCTTGGCCGGCTCAAAGAACCTTCAAGAAGACAGCCACCGGCGAAGAGAAGGCATCATACGTCGCAGCAACAACACAAACAGCTCATCCATTACCAGACCCTGAGAGATTCTCTTCATGGAAGAGGCTTTGGCGAGCCACAGCGAGAGTACTGTAGTTTTTACAACTCTGCAGAAAAAGGGAGAAGGTCAACAAAAAATATCCCACTTGGAAAATGACACAAAGAAAAGGAACGAAGACTGTAGAGAAGCAACACAGATCTTCGAAAATAACAGAAAGGAAATATATACCGTTGGACACCGAACTATTTGAGCAAGCTGAAACTCTTGTGCTGAAAAGAAGTCAAGACAAAAGTTTCAGAGAAGACATCAAGTGCTTTCAACAAGGAAAGCAATAAGAGGGCAGCAGTAAATTGAAAAGGCTCGATGTGGTACTAGAAGAGGGTCTCCTGCGGTTGAAAGAAAGAATCGACGCGATACAGGGTGTGACCAGGGACTACAAACGACCCATCGTGCTCGACAGCAAGGACAAGACAACACAACTCATCATGGAAGAATTCCACTGCCGCTTCAATCATGGAAATCACGCAACGGTGAGAATGAAATACGACAACGCTTCTGAGTACTCGGTCTAAGGTCAGCGATCAAAGCAGTTCAGCATCAATGTCAATGGTGCAAAACAAAGAAAGCAAGACCGCAAGAAATACCAACAGGCAACTTACCGGTGGAAAGGCTGATGCACGGAAATCCTCCTTTTACGTGCACGGGCGTGGACTACTTCGGCCCGATGACAATCACCGTGGCAAGACGGCACGAAAAGAGATGGGGAGCTCTATTTACATGCCTCACAACAAGGGCTGTGCACATTGAGCTAACTCCTTCGCCGCGATTGAGCTTTCTCCACCGACAGCATGATCATGGTACTACGACGATTCGCCGCAAGAAGAGGGATGCCTAAGAAAATCTACAGCGACAACGGGACCAATTTCGTCGGCGCCAACAAAGAAATAAAAGAAGCGTTCGACACCTTGCAGCAAGAAGACCTCACCTCAGAAGCAGAGAAGATCGGCGTGCAATGGAAATTCATCCCTCCAGGTGCGCCAAATATGGGTGGCGCATGGGAACGTTTGGTGCGATCAATCAAGACCGCACTAGACGCCACACTCTACGAAAAGTATCCACGAGAGGAGGTACTCCACACTCTCCTCCTAGAGGCCGAGCACATAGTCAACTCTCGACCTCTCACACACCTCTCTGAAAACCTTGAAGAAAAAGCACTAATACCGAACCACTTCCTCATCGAACGGTCCTGCGGCGCAGCGAGAATCGGTAGCTTCGACGACAGCGAGCTCGTGGGCAGATCTACATGGAAGGCTACGCAGCGGCTTGCCGACCACTTCTGGCAACGTTGGCTGCGAGAATATCTACCCACTCTTTTGCCAAGGAAGACGAAGGCAAGAACCAGCGCCACAGACCTGCAAGTTGGAGACATCGTGCTGATCGTCGACCACAGCCTACCAAGATGCACCTGGCCACGCGGCAGAATCTTCCAAGTGTATCCTGGACCTGATGGGCGGACAAGGATCGTCGACGTCGAGACGCGCAGAGGTGTGATGAGAAGACCCAGTTCAAGAGTAGTGCTGCTGGCGCCGGGAGTATCGCCGAGCCAGGAGGATGGTGCGACGCACGAGGGGGAGAATGTCGGCGACAAGGCATACAATTAACCAGTGACGAACTGTGTTTTGTTCATAAGACTATTATAATTTCCTAATTAGTGTAGCGTGTATTAACTCATATTAGAACATAATTTATAAGGGTTAGCTTTTAATAATAATTTTATAAGGAAGTTTTTAAACGAAAATTTGTATTGTAAATACTTATTAAAAATTTAAGTTTTGTTTAGCGTTTGGAAACTAGCGTTAAATTAAAGGTTTAAATGTAACGTAATATAAACAAAAAGAACTAAGTAGATCAGACATCTGTTTTAATAAATATAAGATAAAATGTATAGTGAATTAACAATTTTGTAGGGGTTTTGTTCTAGAAATTTTATATTTAAGAAATTAATAGTTTATATTATTATTTTATATTATAGAATAGTACTAGAGAAATCTAACGATGTATAAATTGTAAGGGCTATGTGAAAATTAAAATAAATAAAGGCTCCAAAGGTTTCGGCTTAAAATAAAAACAACACGCGAGAAAGGCAAAACCGCATAAGCGTCCGTACGGTAACGCCGGCGGGTATAAAAGTCGAGCCAATTTCGGCTCAGTGCAGTCAGCACAACCGTCGAAGAAGCAGCAACAAAGGAAAAAAGGTAGCCGGAATCTAAGGAACAAGAAGCTACCTAGGAAAAAATGTGTATTAATTTTGCCTCCTCCCGGCTACTCGTCTCTCTCTCTCTCTCTCTCTCTCTCTCTCTCTCTCTCTCTCTCTCTCTCTCTCTCTCTCTCTCTCTCTCTCTCTCTCTCTCTCTCTCTCTCTCTCTCTCTCCTCTCTCTCGGGGTCCCAGTGGGGTCGTACTATATATACGCATTGAGGAGTGCGTGGGACGTGCGTCACCAGCGCTAAGCAAAGAACGTACGTCATCAAGTGGGAGATTGTCCCAGGGCGACTGTGCGGGCACTGGACCTGTCCCTGCCCTCCGAAACATGTATATTTTAATGTATGTGTACTTATTTATGTATAATGGTCGCACCTGCCAACAATTGTCCTTGGACTCCAGGGTTGACTGGCAGAGAATGCCACATGGCATTAAATCCGCCCTATGTACCCTTTAGCTTAAGGTGTTACATGTAAGTTTTTAAATAAATTAATAAATAAGGCATTCCATCTTAGTCCTCAGTGGTGAAAACGCATCTGCATTTTGATTCTTGATTAAAGACACATTTTTCGATTTTTATTTTTTATCCAATTATTTTATAGCATCCAAATAACAGGTATGGGTGACAAACGAGCACATAGTCCACCTGATGTAAAGTGAACACTGTGCCCTATAGGCATCTAGATCTATCTTTTTAGATCGATCTATATTTTTATTTCTTTATAGTGTAAAGGTGACAAACGAGCACACAGTCCATCTGATGATAAGTGGATGCTGTGACCCATAGGCATCTACATTTTTAACCTCGAAACAGAAACAAAAACAGAAACTTTTTTATTCAATGTAGATTATAACAATACTTATTGAAAGTCACTTTTTTCATTTACCACTGGCTCGCAAAAAAACCTCTGTCCTGGGAAGAACCAGCAAGAAACCTAGCGGGACTATTTATTTCCAATAATAGCCTACAATCATGTTTACAATTAACAACACAAGACAAATCAAAAACAGCTTGGCAGCGTTCACCCTTTCCAGTGGTTATTATCATCCATAAATTAATATTATAATATTTAACCCTTTTTATACAAACTTAGTTTAATAACATTTTTAAATTTTATATGACATATTTAGTATATTTTCTGGGATTTTGCAGTAAAAGCGTGTACATCATCCCAAGAATGAATTACTGACTCGGTGGAGTCGAGAAACTGGTACTACTCGCTTAAGAATACATTATCGTGGCTACATTACAATTATGTTGATGCAGCAACGATATAGCAACGATTTACACTAATGAAAGCTTTAAATTACTAAATAGTTTGAATTTTATTTTTTATTAATATAGGAAACCCAAGAAATTATAACTGTTCCGTCTGGTGTGACCAGACATAAAATACCCCCGGCAGTACCAGCAAAGGTGTAAGTCATATCTACGTCTAGCTGAGGACAATTACGGTACGATAATGATTAACAAGATGATGATGTGTTCACGCATCTCAATGATGGCCAAGCTCATTGCGTGTTGTTTATGCATAATTGACTACCGCCGTCCATGAACAAGGAAGAAGAATTGACAGCGCGTTGCTGGATTATTAAAAAACTTTATTAAGAGGTTAGAGTAAGTCAGCTCAAATTCTAATTTCGCCCCCACTTCCCCGCGCGTCGTATGCTATGTACCGAAATATTTGTAATCACTAATACTGTAAGTAGAAAGGTCGTTAGACACTTATTTCATTAGGTTTAACATATTTATGCCTGTTTCTTAAAGCCAAGCCAGCCGCTTCTTATTTTTATCACGGTTATTTCCCATTTTAATTTTACGTCGTACTGTTGCGTAATGTATATTCTAATCGTAAGCGACACAACTTCTCCCTTCAAAAGCTTAAGCGATACTAACGGAACGACGGCAATCAAGCTCAAGACGCCGATAGTTTAGGTAATTTCTTTTTTACAGTGAAAATAATGGTATTTTAAAAAAAGTAAATAACATAAGCACTGTAAATAACATAAACACTTTATAGTTAGTTCAGTTAGTATGCAAAGTTTCATGATCTTATTTAAAGTATTTTATGAATAACAGCGGTTTATTGTTTATTTTGGAGGTAACTTTGGATTTTTTTTCTATCGAGAAAATTTTACGAAATCGTGTTTTCGTCTAACATAATCACTAACATTAATCCTCAACTTTACCATATATTTATTTCAAAATTAATGCTGCAATATTTTCGGCATAACGAAGGACCTTGCTAAGCCATTTGACATTATATTTCCCCTTAAGTCGCCGATTTCACAAACAAGTCGTGAGGAAAGGAAAGCTACTGGAAAATCTTACAGAGGTGGATTGTTATACACCGGGAATTCGTAAAATCTTTCAAACCATATGAAATATTAGGTGTATCTGATGTCGGAAAATCGGAGACGCAAGTCCGAATCAGAAAAATAATGAAGTGCGTTTATGCAGAATTATAAAATCTGACTTCGACCAATGTAATTCAGTTTTTAACAGATTTTATATCTTCAAAATTGTATTTCTTAACATACGACCCGACGTCTCTTTCAAACAATAAAATTTCATCATCTAAATTAACTTATCAAACAGTTTAATAAAAGGTTAAGCGACTTGACCAAACTTTTTCAAGGCACTCATTTGAATCTCCACGTGTGACTAATGGCCGATCTAACCAACTAATCGACTGATTAAACCACGCCATACCTATTAATTAATTAAGAACGTTTTGTTTCAGGAAAGACTCGGACGGAACATTCGCGATGTATTAAAAAGCAGGTCCCGCCGTCAGTGTCATTGGTCTAGCAGCCACAATAGTTAAGGGGATAGAGTAAGTCAGCTCAAATTCTAATTTCGTCCTCACTTACCCGCGCTTCGTATGCTATGTACCGACATGTTTGTAATCACTAATACTATAAGTAGAAATGTCGTTAGACACTTATTTCATTAGGTTTATCACATTTATGCCTGTTTCTTAACGCCAAGGCAGTCGCTTCTTATTTTTATTACGGTTATTTCCCATTTTAATTTTACGTCGTCCTGTTGCGTAATGTATATTTTGATCGTAAGCGACACAACCTCCCCGTTCAAAGACCGAAGCGAAGTGACCGTGCGGCAGGAATCACGCTTAAAGAGGCCGATAGTTTAGGTAATTTCTTTTTTACAGTGAAAATAATTGTATTTAAAAAAAAAGTAAATAACATAAGCACTGCTTTATAGTTAGTTCAGTTAGTATGCAAAGTTTCATGATCTAATTTAAAGTATTTTATGAATAACAGCGGTTTATTGTTTATTTTGGAGGTAACTTTGGATTTTTTTTCTATCGAGAAAATTTTACGAAATCGTGTTTTCGTCTAACATAATCCTTAACATTAATCCTCAACTTTACCATATATTTATTTCAAAATTAATGCTGCAATATTTTTGGCATAACGAAGGATCTTGCTAAGCCATTTGAGATTATATTTCCCCTTAAGACAGGAAAATGATATTCACTATAAGATATAAATTTATTTATTATGAAATACACAACGCGGTTCTTATATGTACCTACTTATAATGGCTATTTTCTTTTTATTGATTTATTATTTTTCTTTTTATAAAGATTTAACGGCTGAATTTTGTAAGCGGCGCAAGAACGTGACTTTGAGAGATGGATATGTACTAGTGACATTAGCTGTAGATACCGTCGATATGTGTGATCCACGTGCGGTAAAGTTCCTACAGGAACTTATTCCATGACATGTTGCTGCCACTGGTGATGGGTGCTTCTTTTCTCGCTCAAAAGCGTTTAGCTGGCCGGCGTCACTTTAAGGCGGGGAATATTAGTTTGTGGTGTGACTATTGTAAGGAGTAGGACGATATAATAATTTAAGTTTTAAGTAAAAATTTCTTGTAATACGATGATAAATATTGTATTTATTGTTTTATCAAAATGTATTAGTAAAATAGATTATATTATATAACGTTTTTTACTGCTATTATATAACGTTTCTTACTGCTAAAATAGAACAAAAAAAAATGAAAATATTTTCTGTACAGTACTGGTTCCTTTATAGATCCTTTATAGATTTCAAAACAATACTGGTTTCTTTATACAATTTGTTTATTGATAAATAAACAAACTGTATGTAGCGATCGACAGCGAATAGATCAATGAGCCCACAGTTCACCTGGTGGGTGTTGAGAATGTGGCTCCTAGACACATACATTTGACGTCGAATAAAAATCGAAATACAGATGTTGTTGTTGAGGATTAAGTTGAAAGGATTGAGTTGCTTTGGGTATAAAAGGCAACATTACGCTACTCATATAATCTAAGTTATTCAACTTGCAACCTCTCCATATGCCCTATTTAAAAAGGTTAATAGAAAGAAGGCTGGTTATTGTCATGTTATGCAATTATTTATTATTGATCATCATTAACCTTTTGCTATGTTGCTTTTATATATTATCAGTGGCTCTCTTCGTATTTTATATAATTCCAGGCTGTTACAAGATCACTGCTGAAAATAGGCCACTGAAGCAACCGAAAATAGTGTGTTACTTATATAAAAATGCCATGTAGTGACGGTTTAAGATTATCCACTACCCCTGTCGACCCGTACGTGTAGTATTAACCAACAGAGAGAAAAACAAGGAGATGGGCAGCAGTGTCTTCCTGATAACTGCTAGAAAATAAAAAGAGTGTCGACCTACGTTTTTTTCAATTATCAATTTTATGATCGAACATTTAACAATTTCGTACATACAAAATACTTCGGCACAATAAACTATATTTTTTAAAATTATAAAGTAAAACTTAAAAAAGATACTAATCCCCTATTTAACATGTCAATTATGGAACAATAAATGAGTAGTGTAGTTTTGGGGTCGGCTTTCGGCTGTCGGTTTAGTAATCTGCTGCACGATTTAAGTGATCATTTTAGCTTTAGTTGACAGGCAATGATGCTATTGATTACCATCTAGCTGCTTTTTATGCCGGAAATCTATAGTTTTCGAGATATCGATAGTTAAAGTTTTGAGGTTACTTACTTACTTACTTACTTATCTTCACGCACAATCTCTAACGGGGTAGCCAGAGAGAACAGATCGCCAAGTGTCACGATCCTTACATACCTCTTTCGCTTCTTTCAGGTTCATTAACTTCTTCATACATGCACGTCTAGGTATCCGAGTACTCTTGACCCTCCCCTCTTCGAGCAATTTGCTCACATGGTCTTCGAAAGTTAGTCTCGGTCTACCTCGACACCTTTTAATATTTACTTTCGCTCTATATATTTTCTTCACCATTCGGTCTTCACTCATTCATTCAACGTGCCCAAACCATTGAAGAACGCCCCTATCAATTTTTGTGATAAGGTCATCTTTCAATCCTGCCATATTGCGAATCTCTTCGTTTCGCTTTCGGTCGGCTAAGGTAACGCCACACATTTTACGAAGAGATCGCATCTCTACTGCATTCAACTTGCTTTTATGCTTCTTCGGGCATACCCAGGTTTCGCTGCCATATAACAAAGTCGGTACCAATACTGCATTATGTATTGCAAGGCGTGCACTCTTCACCACGCCTTGCCTTTTTACTAATGCATTCAGGGCACCATTGACTTTGTTTCCGGCAGCGACACGCCTATACACATCTAAATCACATCTTCCATCCCGGCTGAAAGCACTCCCCAAGTATACAATTTCATTTACCTGTTCTAGACATTCCTGATTTACCCATATTTCACATTTCGTCCTCTCTTCGTCCTTTTCAAATACCAGAACCTTAGTTTTATTAGCATTCAAAAGGAGACCTTTAATTTCATATTCCTCTTTCATACACGTGACTAATGCCTGCAGTTCTGCTTCTGATGGTGCAATAAGCACTGCATCATCAGCATACAGCAGACAATTAACTTTTATGTCACCCAATTTCACACCCAAACAGCTATTTTTCAGCTTCTGTAAACAGCTGTCAAGATACAGTATGAACAGCCAGGAAGACATGACACAACCCTGTTTTACGCCCGCTTGGACGCTAAACATGGGTGACATGTTATGCCCTACCCGCACACAGGCTTTACAGTCATAGTAAAGTGACTGCACAGCCCTTAACAATCGACCATCCACACCATATCCCGGCAACAGTTCCCACATTTTCTTCCTTATAACCTTATGCTAATGCTTTCTCCAGATCCACAAAAGCACAGAAAATCTTCTGGTTAACACTCAGAAGCTTCTCCGTGATCATGCGGAGAGAAAACATTTGATCCGTGCATCCTCTTCCAGGTCTAAATCCGCATTGTGCCTCCCATAAGAATCTTTCCGATTTATCTTGCATCCTACGTGTCAAAACCTTCGAGTAAACTTTACTTGCTAAACTGGTCAAGCTGATCGCCCGATAGCACCCGCAGTCAAAATGTGAACCTTTA